CTATCAACAGTGCCTTTGTCAATATTAGCACATTGTTAAAGTATTAAGGCACGACGCTGATTTTTTAGTCATCCTGCACAGGTGTATGATTTGCTACATCTTGATGTAAGCCTTTAAATGACTCAGAAGTTCAAGAAATCTTGTTGAATGGTGCTATTGAAGCTTTGCTTCTAACCTTTATAAATAATGAATATATTTAATAGATTTTATGTCTGTAAATATTTGGATTGTGCCAAATGTTTGCAGGCAAGCAGTTTCAACATGAAAATACAATTTCAGAGAGCAGAAAATAGTCCCTTAAAACTCAGAAGATTCTTTTTTCAATATTCATGCATGTTAGTCACAGCTGTTCCCCAACTGTTCTTTCAGCACTGTATTTGTGACCTTATTTTCCATTACAGCATCATCACAACCAATCAGTGATCACATAGTGAGTATGAATGATGCAACAGTATTGCTTAACCCATTGGGTTTGGGCTATATGATAATAACACAAAGCCAAGTGAACACTTTAATCTGTTTGCAAACCTCCCCCCCTTTCAAGTTCACCAGAAGGGAGGGTATTTTCACTCAAGGTCTAAAATGCTTGCCCCAAAAGCCCACCATTTTGGCTAACATGTATCAGTAGATTAATTCAAACCTTCAAGAGTGTTTATCTGTGAAAAGCTGATCACTTGAGTTTCCTTGGGTGCAGAATTTATATGAAAGCCCATCCACCTAAATGACACAAAAGATTTTAGAAGTGAATTTGATGTACACCTCCATGGAACTGTGCTCATCCAGGCACAGTCCTTGGCAGAGTAAACTAGTGAAGAGCAGCAGGCAGATAACCACACCAGCTTGGGAATCGGTATGATTAACTTTCCTTTTTCAAAGCAGGGAATAGATATGTTCTTCTCCAAGAAATCTCCCCATTTACTCTTCAGTCTTAGTGAAAACAACAATGAATCAATATCATGGAAAGGTGCTCTGTGAACATGTCCTAAGAAAGTTTCACCCTTGGTTGGCAAGCAGCATCTGGCCATATCCCTGCTGTAATTTATTTTCCTAGTGAAGTCTGTCATCATAGCCGAAGGACTAAAATGTGGTGCTGTGGCAGCTGCCAGTCAGTGAGCATCCTCTCTCTTCTGGTTTAAGAGGAGCAGGGAAAGACTGGCAGCTGTAAGAGTGCAGTAGTGTTCCTCCCCCCCACACCCACACATACAGCTGGGTAAATGCAGCACAATACTATGGTGACTGTATGGCCACTCCCTTTTGCTCCCAGTTTTATTATCAAAGCCACATCTCTCATTTTGTCCGTTGGAACTAAGGAGAAAATATTATATGCTAAAATGCCCGATGACATGAACAGTGGGAAAAGGTTATTTGTTGCACAACATGGAAGGGCAGGATATCTCCAGATTCTTGGACCTA